TTATAAGTAATTAATTTATTTTAATCTCTTTTAAATTGTACTTTTAAATTTAAAGCTTCGTGTTATAGATGTTAATATTGAAAATATAGATATTACTATGGTGTCTACCGTTAAAAGATATTTATGGGTAGTTTCATGTTTTCACATGCTTTTAATAATTGGAATAAAAGCCATGACAACATTTTTTTATAAATAAAATTTATCTATAGTATTTTTAATACTTTGGCTCTTTGAAAAAAAATATGTTTCTGGCTTTTCAACAAATATATAATTGTCTTGCATTAATGAATTTTGGTTTAGGATATAATTGTGTTATTATATGTTTGTTTTTCTGTACTTAATATAGCATTTATCATTTGCATACATTTTTATTTAAGTTTTTTTGTTTATAATTTATTTAGATTATTAGAAAATTCATGTTTATAGAGTTGTTATTTAATCATAACAAGTTGTTAACCAAGGAAATTGAAGAGGTTTATTTATCAATTTATACTATAAATTATATAATAATATTGGAGGGAGTAAGTTAGAAAGCATTTTTATATTTTTAAAAAGAAATAATACTTTTCAATATATATCTGTTTTTTTTTAGGTAGATTAAAAGTTTCAGGTTTTCAAAATTGTAGATCTTTTCAATGTCTAAATAGAATTTTTCTATTTGACATTGATAAGTCTACAAAATGTCTAAATAGAATTAATCATAATCGAGTTGTTGAACCAAAGAAATTGTAGAGGTTTATTTATCAAATATATACTATATATATTATATAAAAAATTTTGGTTTTCATATGTTTTCACTAATAAATAGCTCGATCGAGAAAATGTTAATCGTCGCCAAAATGAAAGAAGAGCTGTTGGACAAGGACGAATGTATTCTATAGCGAGAAGTAATGCTATTCCAGATTATAATTATTTAGGAAAAATGAATCAAATTTGTCAGCGCTGTGGTGCTAAGAAATTTCCAAATGAAACACATTTTCTATGTTGCCATAATGGTAAGGTAGCTTTGCCTCCACTTTCACCAATTACACAAGCACAGGATTTGTTTACAGGGAGTTATGTAGATCGTAATGCTAATGCTAATTTTTTAAAACATATTTGAAATTATAATGCCTGCCTTTCTTTTGCTTCTTTTACAGCAAATGTAGTTCAACCAATGAATCATGGGCTTCCATGTTTGTTATTATTTATCGGTAATAAATATTTTAAATTATTTGATATGGTTTTCTTTACAATAGGCTATGCTTGGCTCCTCGGTGCTGTAAATGGTGGCTTCAACTTTGTTTTTTTAAGAAAAATGTGTTTTATATATGCTTCTGTTTTAAAATATTTTTGTTACATATTTAACTATATATCATGTAAATAAATTTCTTTTAAAGATATGTAAACTTGATACTTGCTTTTTTACGGATTTTCAAAAAGTGAACAAAGGTTTAAATATATTTTTTAACTGTCTTATATGGTTTTATCAATTTTATTAAAGCTGAATAATTACTTCAAAAATATTGAGTAAAATCCAATTGCTTTTATTATTAACCTGATCTATACAAAACTTAATGAAATAAAACTAATAATTTAACGCCAAGTTAAGGCAAATTGTATTCCGGACATTTTATAAAATTAGTATAAATATGGATTGGATGTATGTTGAAATAAATATGTTGATATACGTTAGCTATAAAGTAAATCGATATATTCCTTTATTGTTTTTTTATAAACAAGTTTCTGCTGGACTACTAATTAAAAAAAAGGTTGGTTTAGTAATAATCTTTATCATATAATAATATAGGATCCGTATGCAGGGCTAAGCTCTTTCCGGAATTGCGATATGTTTTTCAACTTATAGTTTTTCCGGATATCCAACTTCTGTGCCTAAAAGTTTGGGTGTAATATTTTAGATGATTTAAAAATATTTAAAAAGTATATTTAAAAAATTGAAAAGTTTAGGTGCGATAGTGACATTTTTATAAACTAAAGATTTACGGTATAAACGGAAGTGTTTTAAATTGGTTAAAAAGCTATTTAAATAATCGAAAGCAATTTGTATACGTTGATGTAGTTTCACCAGTAAACTTGCTTGATATAACCTGTGGAGTTCCTCAGGGATCAATATTAGGGCCTCTTCTTTTTCTTATTTACATCAACAATCTCCATAAAGCCTCAAATTTAATGACGATTATGTTTGCAGATGACACGAACTTATTTTTATCTCATAATGATATTACATTGTTATTTCAGAATATCAATAATAAACTAGTAAGAGTTTCTGATTGATTTAAGACAAATAAACTGTCTCTTAATATTGATAAAACAAAATGGATTTTTTTCCATTCAAATCACAAAAAAAATCTTATACCAAATGAAATACCACTGCTTTTTATTGATAATATACTTCTAAAAAAAGTAACAGTTACAAACTTTCTTGGTATTTATATTGATGAAAATTTGTCATGGAAAAGTCACATAAAAAATTTGAGTAGTAAAATATCAAAAAGCATAGGAATTTTGTACAAAGCAAGGTGTTTTTTAAATAAACATACATTACTTAAACTATATTATTCGCTCATTCATTGTCACATTAACTATGCGAACATTGCGTGGGGTAGTACTAATAAAAGTAAACTGGAACCTCTTTATCGTCAACAGAAACATGTTGCATGCCTTATTAATTTTAAGGATCGATTTACTCATGCCAAGCCTCTATTAATTGAAATTAAAGTCTTAAATATATATGAGCTTAATATTTTTAACGTTATATGTTTTATGTTTAAATGTAAAAACAATATTTCTCCTGTACCTTTTCATAATTTGTATAACAAAAAAGAAAAAACTAAGTACATTTTACGAAATGATAATAATATTCGTCAATCAGCTTATCAAACTAATTCTGGAAAATACTGTATTTCATTTCGAGGAGCAATACTTTGGAATAAAATAGTTTTAAAAGAATATAGATATATCATCTAATAAAAAAGTCATTTTTTTATTAGATTATTATTATTATTATCTATATTCTTTTAATTTTTTGTTTCTTTTTTAACTTTATATTTAACACTGCATTAATAAATTTTATAATTTAACAATTTGTAAATAGTTGTTTAACACTTTTGTTAAAGGTATCTTAAAACTGTATAACAAAACCTTTAACAAAAAGTTTAACAATTGTGCTAAAGATATCTTAAAACTGTATAACGCATCTATGTATTTATAACGGAACCGTTTTTCTTTTTCTTTTTTTCTTTAAATTTGTTCATGTTTTCAATTCTTAATTCTTAATTATTTGTTATCTTCAAGTATGTTAAGTATATATTCCTATTGAAAGTTTATTTATTTTGAGAATATTTTATTATTACGAAATATTAACACGAAAATTTTTTAGCGGTTCTCGACGACAAGACCTTACGGTCTTCTACGAGTTCCCGCGTTCTTTTATTTCTTAATAACGATCATGTGTATATATATATATACATTGTTAACGAATATTTATTAAATCACAAAGTTGTAAAATTAAAGAACAAAAAAAAAAAAAAAAAAAAAAAAAAAAAAAAAAAAAAAATTTTTAAGCTCTTCACTCAGTAAAATGAAAAGTTTAAAAAAAAAAGAAACGACTCAGCTTAAAGCAAAATTAAGAGTAAAATATATTCCCAATATTTACCTGAACAATTTTACGGAATTTGAAAATTTGACATCGATGTTCTGTGCATATAATTCAAGTCATTTTTAACTACTACATGGTTGTGATTTGCGCATTCAATGTCTGAACATTGCAAAAGAAATGGTTGACTTTATCTTTAATGAAGCTAAGAGTTCTCTTAAACTAAGAAGCCAAGAAAAATTAAAGTGAGCACAACTATAAAAATGTATAAATAAATTTATATTTCATTAGAGAAAGTAAATAAAGATCAAATTGTTAGTAATGATTTATTTACTACTAACCCGTATTACGGGTTGCTTACTGTATAAATAAATTTATATTTTATTAGAGAAAGTAAATAAATATCAAATTGTTAGTAATGATTTATTTACTACTAACCTGTATTACGGGTTGCTTACTGCTAGTATGGTATAAATAATCGTGTATAAACTGATAAGAGAGGCGTTTTTTTGTTAGTTATTGATTAACGTTAAAACTGAAATATATAATGCTAAATTAAGTCACGTTTTATTATTGGGTTTAATACGTCCTACGCGCTTTCACACGAATATTTTGGTAGCAGAGGGTAATAATATCAAACGACGTCAAATGGGAAAAGCATATTAACACAATTGCGGCAAGGGCTAATAGAAAGCTCGGTCAGATAAAGAAATCTTTTTGTCGATTAGATGAAATTTCAATGAAACATTTATACACGTCAGTGATTAACCACACCTGGAGTTTGCGGTGCCGGTTTGGAACTTTAATATAGTATACAATTTTTAACAAGAAACTAAAAAGTTAATTTACTAATATTAATGTAAAACATGTAATTTTTTATAGGCATAAGTAAACGTATTGTTTATCTTTACTTTATATTACGCATGTTTCTATATTTAAAAAGTTTTTTCTCGTTAGCGTTCTCATACTACAAATTATCACAACGAAACAAAAAGAATTAAGAAATTCGTCAATTCATCTTTTGAAAACCACTTTAGGCATTCTTTTCGGTTTGGGTCTTTAGAGCTAAAAAAAAAAAAATGCATACAATAAATAAAGAACATAAAAATTAATTAAAAATTTTATTACAAATTATGACAAAATAAACCTCCTAATATTAAAATAACAATAATAATGTAGTAAGTTAGTTAGATAAATTTATATTTAGGATTTTCCCATTTAATATGAAGTGCTGCTTTTGTTTTTAATTTGTTAATGGTAGAGGCAGTATCCAAAATTTAAAAGCAATCAAAATTAGTTAGTGTTTTACAAACACTAACTAATAATTATATAAAACATAATATTCAAAATAAGACAAAATGTGAAATGATAAGCAAAAATAAAACGTATAAGATAGATAAAAACATATCAACATATTTTCGCGCAATTAGAATCAATCATTTTTTATTAATTTATCAATTTCCAACCAATAGCATTTTATCACTTTTATCCTGCATAACAACAATAATTATAGATAAAATAATAAAAACTTGATAATATATATATATATATATATATATATATATATATATATATATATATATATATATATATATATATATATATATATATATATATATATATATATATATATTAGAGATGTGCCGAAACCAGTTTATGCCGAGTCTCCGATTCCGGGTACCTGGCTGAAAAAACCGGGTCCGAGTCCGGGTACTCGGTACCGAGTCCATTTTTTAAAAGTTGTAATAAAAACTTGTAAAATCTCTAGCGCTGAACTATTCCTTTTTATGCTAACTAACCAAAAGTTATGTGGCGGAAGTACCATTTAGCAAAACCCCGCAAAGCAGGGTAAGGGAGCAGGGTAAGTTGTGCAACAGTTTTTTAATAACTATATTTAGTTTAAAATTTTTTTCTTTCCTGGTGGAGCGAGCCTAAATAATATTTTGTTATATTTATTATCGAAATTAAAATATGAAAAATGTGTATAATATTTACCTTATATCTCTACTTTTATGATTTTTGCTTGATACGAATGAAAAGTGGTATCAGCGTTCGAAAGCATTATAAGCGTTTCATTCAAAACTAAATTGCTAAAAATTATCTTGTCTACTAACAGAATAAAAAGAAGCTATTCTAAAACTTTTTTTCCCATTCTTTTTATTCGTATTCTCGAATTATTTCATTTAGCGTTACAGTTTTTGTGTCCGTATAAATTTTTTTGCAAAAATGTATGTATAAAAAAATATTTTAAGTGAGATTGTTTTAAGTTAATAGACCTTTGTTTTTATCGACTACATAATATTCTTAGACTTATATCAAGAAGTTTAATAGTTAAAGTTTAAATTTAAGGAAAAATCAATTTGAAGATACCCGGTGCCGGGTACTGCAACAAAATGGCCGATACCGGGTACCCGGTAAAACAGCCGAACTGCCGGGTTCCCGGGTCCGAACCGGGTACCCGGCACATCACTAATATATATATATATATATATATATATATATATATATATATATATATATATATATATATATATATATATATATATATATATATAAATAATCAATTATTATAATAACTAAATAATTTTAATTTAAAAACCAAGCAAACTTTCACTGGAAGTTTTCTGTTTTTTTTGTAAGGAACTTTACAATTTTTAAACTTTTTTTTTTTTTAATTTTAACTGTTTAAATCAACAAAACAAAAATTCATACAGCTCTACTTTTCTGTACTGATATAGATATTTAAATCTGTAAAAAACATAATAGTCATTATAAAGCAAAACTTAAACCTGTATATTAGAGAAGAAAAATATTGCAGTAAGTATATCTTATAAGCAATATGATGCTTAAGCATGTTTTTTAGCCCATTTCAAAAAAGTCAAGAACCAAATGGCAATAGTTACATTTTTTTTCTTTGAATAAGTGTACTTTGTTTACTTTCTCTGATAACTTATATCATCTAATTCAAATTGTATTTATTAGGATATTTTAGTATAATTTTAGACGGAAAAATTATGAAGTCAGTGGTCTGTTGGTTCTCTACTGACAAATTAGCATAACAAAACAAACAGAATTGCGAAAATTGACTTTAAAAGTATTTTCCGTTTGGGTCTTTAAAGCTAAAAAAAAAAAGAAGGTTTATACAATATTTAAAGGACATCAATAACATTTTTATAAAAACATATAATAAATACTGTATAAAATTTATATATATATATATATTTATACATAATATATATATATATATATATATATATATATATATATACATATATATATATATATATATATATATATATACATAATATATATATAGAGAGAGATAGAAAGATTTACAATTTTAGTTAAACATAAATAAAAACTGCATTAAAATATAATACTCACTTTAAAAAAAGCTCTGTATATATATAATAACTGCTTTAAAATAACTCTTTAATATAAGACATATTTTCTTTACCATACAAATCAGAAAACTCGTAAACAAATCTATTAACTAATAATGTGGCTTCATTAATTACACTTTCAGATAATACCTTATTGTTCAACATAAAAACAATATTAGATAAAAGAAAATGGTCTAAAAACTGAGGAGGCAAAACATCACATAAAATAACAGGACCATAAAAAACTAAAAAATTCAAAAACTCAATACCTTTCCAATGCTTTATACAACTTAATGATCATCGAGTCTGTCTTATATTGCTTGGCACACTGATTGCAGATAAAAGATTATTTACAACAGTACAGTGTCTTCTAATAGATAAAATATAACCAGAATATATATATAACCATATATATATAACCAGAATATATATATAACCATAGCTTTCATAACACCAAGCTCAATACAGTGCAGATTATTAACAACTGTTCCATTTTCACAATTAGATCTAGGTACTCTTACAAATGTAGAAAAATCTAAAAACCCTTTAATCACATTAATCCAAAAAAAATCTGTATGGTTTCTACAACTCCCATTAACATCAGAAAATGGATAAGTCATACAAGACCTCCTACCTTTTTTTAACTCTTACCCCTTGAGAAGAACACCAATGGCAACCATTATAATCATTAAACTACCTACAACAAAAAACCATAGCTCCTGCAATTGTATCACACAAAAAAATAAATACATGAAAAAAAAACACGAACATTATTAGATAAGAGTATACCAGTAGTGGATAGGTTAGTAAAAAATCAACAAAACAAGATAAAAATAATTGCACGTTTGGTTTTTTAAAACTGGACCAGAAACCAAAAAACAAAATATTAGTAATTTGCAATGAATATGGAAAATTATGAATGGATGCTAGCAAAGGCCACAAGGTCCACTTTGATAATTTAAAAACAGGAATTCCATCAGTATTAACAACAAGTCTAATTGTTGCTTGCACATTTTCTTCAAGACTTGCTAAATGTATCCAATTGTTATCACACATGTTTTTATGCTGTTTGTTTATGTTTAAAATATGAAAATAACTGCATTTCTTATAAAGATAGGATAATGTAAAATATTTCAAACATTTTGTACATTGCTTATTAGTACTTAAAGCAACTTCACAAATATATATATATATATATATATATATATATATATATATATATATATATATATATATATATATATATATATATATATATATATATATATATATATATATATATATATATATATATATATATATATACTGAGAGAGAGAGGGATATATATTATATATCCCTCTCTTTCAGTGAGAGAGAGAAACAGATTGTTATTTATTATTTTTAATATAAAATACTTAATCATAAAGACATTTATAAAAATTATTTTTATAAAATAATAAAGTTGAATTTAATAAATAAAATGCATTCGCATAAAGCGAATGCATAATAAACAATACTTAAGAGAAATAAACATTTTGAGCAACATACCAGATGATTTTGTTTTGTAACTTGAGTAGAACTAATAATAATTGAAACTCACACTATAGATCATCTATTAGATGCAAAAAATAAAATAAAAAGGATTACTTTTATACAAAAATTTGAAATATTATTTTAAAAAGCTATATTATCAATTTTCCAAGTTTTAACTGCTTGCAGAAGTTGTAGCAGCAACGCTTTTTACATCATCGCGAAATATTTCGCAAGAAACCCAGTAAACTTCCAGCGAACTTTAAGATCACTGGAAGTTTTTCGTTGGATTTCCAGCGAAGTCTTTTGTTTCCATGGAAATCCAGCGAAAACCCAGTGATCTTAGTAAATTTCCAGTGATCTTTTAATTTCCACCGAACTTTCGCTGGAAGTTCGCTGGGTTTTTTTGTAAGGGGGGGGGGGACAGCAATCCTGATTGGCGCCCTTATTTATCAAATTTTCCCTATAATATATATGAAGGATTTTTTTTTATTTTTTTATTTTTAGGTACCTACATTTTATTTAATAATGAATAATGAAAGAGTAATTAAATGGTTTCAAAGTTATTTATCGAACAGAAAACAATTTGTTTCTTGTAATGAACTTAATCATAAACAGTTTTTAAAATTTTCCTGTGGTGTTTGGCAAGCTTCCATCTTAGGCCCTCTTTTATTTCTAATATATATCAACGACTTGCATAAAGCATCAAATCTTCTAAGTATTTTGTTTGCTGATGACACAAACTTATTTATCTCTAACAATGACATCTATCTTCTTTACTCCATAATGAACAAAGAACTTCAAAACATATCTAAATGGTTTAAAAGTAACAAATTTACATTTTATTTAACCAAAACAAAATGGATTTTTTTCCACCCGCTCTCCAAAAAACGTTTTCTACCTCCAAATCTACAAATTCTTATTGGCCATATTCAAATTAAAAGAGATTATTAACTAAATACTTAGGGGTTTTCATTGACGAGAACATCACACGGAAACATCATATTAACTATGTTTGCTCAAAAGTTTCAAAAAGTATCGGAATTTTATATAAGACGCGTACTCATTTAGATAAAAAAAATTTAACTAAACTTTATTACTCTTTTATCCACAGTTATATAAGTTATGGAGTTATTGCCTGGGGTAGCACTGATCAAAGCAAGTTACAATGTCTCTATCGCCGTCAGAAACTTGCGATCCGTTTAATTAATTCTGCGGATCGGTTCTCACATTCCTCAATATTTTTTAATCAAATGAAAATCCTAGATATATATAAACTAAATGTATATAAAAATTTATCTTTTGTCTATATGTGGAAGCATGATTTATCTCCTTTAATTTTTAAAGATCTTTTTATTTTGAAACCATTACGCAAGTTTAACATGAGGAATAATAATTATTTAAATGAACCATTCTGTCGAACAAAGTTCAATCAATTTTGTATCACTTATTGTGCAACTCATCTCTGGAACGAAATTATTTTGCCTAACTTCGACTTACCCCTAACTTATCCTGTTTTTAAAAATAAATTAAAAGACCACATTCTTTCTATTGAAAAGATCTTAAAATATTTTTAATTTAATTTGTGATTAAAAACGAATAATAATTTTTATTGTCATGTATTTTCAAGTTATTGTCATACTTGTTTACAACTTATTTTCATTTATGTAAATACGATTTATTGTTTTTATATGATTTTTTACGTACTTTTGTTGTAAAAAGGCGTTTTTATAATATGTTACGTACTCTTTTTTGTAAAATGCTTCTGACGATAAGATCATTGTGATCTTCTTTTAGAAACCTTGTTTGTGTTTGAAAAATATGTAATTTATATATATTACGTCAAATGTAAACAAACAAACAAACAAACAAAAAAAAAAGCAAAAAAAAAAAAATTTAGCGCCCCTCGTATATCTGCCGCCCGGGACAAACTGTCCCTCACAACCCCCTTTCTCGGCGGCACTGACAAGAGGTCATACTCAGAAAATGCAAAAACAATTCACACATTCTACCACAAGATTTAACTTCCTTACAAACAGAATAATTAACAATTGGAATAATTTAACAGAGGAGATAATTAATTCTAAAAATGTGAACATCTTCAAAAACAAGTTTGATCGTTTTGAAAAAAACAAAATAAAAATATAAAACAAATAAAACAAAAAATATATATATAATATTTAAAAAGGAAAAAAAAAACTTTTGCAACGGCTGTCAAAGTTTTAACATCTACAGATGTTAGACTCACACATTGTATGTGTACAGCAAAAATTTATTATATTATTATTATTAAATAAATTTATAACATGACAAAGATTTCGATGGTTCCGTAAATCCGTAAAAACTATATTAAAAAAATATATATTAAAACTTATCGTTCTAAATTCTAATACAGTAAGTTTATTTCTTATAGATTATGTTTGTGACAATTGTTTTTTCAATGATATTGTTCTAATTTAGAACAATGACTATCAAAAATTAGTATATTCAGAAATACTGTTTAAGAAAATGTTGTATATATATTCAAAAAACAAATGAATGTTGAACCAGTCATTTTCTAAGATCCTTGAATTGGAGTATTATCTGTGAGTGATATTATCTTTTTTTGAGGCCTAAAAATCATCATGGTTGAAATATAATGACCAACGTTTTTATTTATTTAAACTAAACACTATGTTTGTATGAATCGAATCTAGTTTCCTTAGCATTAAATCATGATTTCGTTTGAAAAAACCTCGCAAAGTCTTTTTTTTTATATATAATGCAGAAATCAAGTACAAATAATATTGCATTCATCATTTTGAGACCATAAAGTGATTTACCCATGCTTTTAGTGAACTTTTAAAAATGCTACTCTCGTTATTCAGAAAGCACATTGTGATATACATTGACAAATAAACTGACATGTATACCATTTTCAAGTGAAGCTTTTTTAACTCGACAATGTCTAGAATCAATTGTTACATTTAAATTCTTATAAGCTTCTCTGAAAGACAATTTTTTTAACTTTAGCGCCGTTATAATATTTTTTATACCATCTTGGTTCCAAGAAATTTGATTAATTTCTCTCTCTCTTTATATTTTTTTTTCAAAAAAAGATTTTTCGTTTAAAATGAACTCTACCTAACTGATGCAACTCGTAAACTTTAAATCTACTTTTCTGCGTTGTATTTTGAGTAGGGATTGCAATCCCGGGCATGATTTACGATCCCGGGATTTCGGGATTGAAGTAAATAAAATCCCGGGATCCCGGTATCCCGGGATTTTATATAATGCGAGTTATTTGCTAAAAAACAGAACTTAATACTGCATATATGAATATACTTTTTGATGTTATCAATTCTTTATTTAATTTCATTATGTTTTAATGACTTACATTAATTTTCTACGGCGCCTTAAATTGTTTTAGTTGTGTAACAGGCAGCAGGTGTATATAAAGATCTTAAAATAATGCAGAAATAAATATACAGTACCTTCCATATTATGTTTTAAAATTACAGACTTTACAGAATAACCTTCATCAAATAATTGGATATGTAAATATCATTTAAAGTGTATTTGATAAAAGTAACTAAACAATCAAAATTTCAAAATAAATTTGTAAACATAAATTTTCTTAAATTTGGGTATCGATGTAGCTGCTGTAGCAACAAGCTACTTTGTAAAAAATAACATAATAAGTTGTTTGTTAATATTGAGAGACAAAAATTAAAGAAAATCTTTATTTTATATTTATAAATAAATGGTAGCTAAATAATAAATGTAAAACAAAAAAACAATTCATATTAAATGCATATTTTATTTACAAACTTTCTTTTTTTGTCTGAAAATATGCCCGGAGCAATAGTAGAGCATTTAAGGTTTGGTCATTTAGCCTACTCCTTATTTTACTTCCCAAATACCCAGCTGCAAAAAATGCCCGCTCAGGTTCGATGCTCGTCGGTGGAATAGATAATAAATATTGGTATACTAATTCCAAATTATGCCCCCGGTTTCCACCATTTTCAAACAGATGCATTTCTTTCTTTATGATTGACATTAAATTTGAAGTTTGTGTTTCTGGTTCAATGGCTTTCATGCTTTGTGCAATTTGTTCTTGTAACTTTTCTCTAAAGACAGGGATTACAGACCATTATATTTTTACAGACCATTATATTTTCATCAACATCAATACTTGATTTTTCTAAATTATCGATTTAAAAAGCAGCTAGTCTCTCAATAAGTTTTTTTATCTGCTTCCTAATAAGGGTTTTAGGAGGAACTCCAAAAATTTTGCAGACATTTGTTTCATCATTCACTGCATCATATTTTGGATTTTGAAGGTATTTTAAAACACCAGAAATTTCTTCACATCGTCTTTTTTCCATTCTTGTTTTTATAGCTTGGAACATTTTATTAGCAAAGGGAGATTGTTTTTGAGCAATCTGCTGGAATAAAAATATAAGTACTGCATCTGCACTGCATAGATTAGCATCTCGTCTGCATAACGCATCTACTGCTAATTTGACAGGTGCAAGTACTTCTATTATTTCCGAAAGAACCACAAAATCACTTTCGTTTAAGGAAACTGGGTGGTTTAAGTCAATCAAAGCTTTCTGTATACATGTTTTTAAAGCAAGGAAACGCTCTAGCATCGATAGAAGAGAGTTCCATCTTGTTTTGCAATCCAAAATGAGCGAAAGCTC